TCATTTTGAAGTCTCCGTGGAGCGAGGGCTCGGATGTGTCCTGAGGATCAGCGCGCAGGTGAAGGTTCCGCAGTCTGTTGTGTCTCCCGCGGGGGCACTTCCCACGAGTGCCGTCCCCACTGTGCTCTCGCCGGCGCCCCGATAAACCTGTTTCCACGGGGACACCTGTCAAGTTGAGCCACGTGCGGCCAACGAGGAAAGGACACATCCCGGCACAGGGTTTACCTCCCCTCAGCTCCCTCCGCTTTCTGGGGATCCGCTGTTTCCCTCCCTCTCACGATGACCTGGGCGCACTTTCTTTCTTTCTTTTTTTAAAAATATGTCTTTATTGATTTCAGAGAGAGGAAGGGAGAGGGGGAGGGGGAGATGGAAACATCCATGATGAGAGTCACTGATCGGCTGCCTCCTGCACGCCCCTGACTGGGGATGGAGCCCGCAACCCGGGCCTGTGTCCCGACCGGGAATCGAACCCCGATCGCCTGGATCCTAGGTCGATGCTCGACCGCTGAGCCACGCCGGCCGGGCTGGGCGCGCTTTCTGATGTGACCCAGCTTGGAGTGGAAAATTTAGGCCGAGCCCAGAGCCGGCTCCCCCATCACACGGTCATGTGGCCGGAAGGCCCGGGGGCCTCTCAGGTGCTCTTGGGCTCATGGCCTCTGGAGGCCGTGACGCTGATTAGAGTTTTGAGAAATAACGCGATTCCTGTGGTTCTTTCCACAGAAGCTGTTAAATCCATTTCCGCAAGCGGGGGCCTCCTTCGAGCCCTCGCCTGGGCCCCCAGGGGGGTGGGGATCTCATGCCGGGCGTGTGACAGCCCCGGGGCCCGGTGGTCTCCACGCTCCGTCACCGTGAGGGACGCGGGGCCCGAGCCGTGCGCCCTGGCCGTTGCCAGTGCCCGAGTACAGTTGCAAGGCGATCGGCACCGAGAACCTGGGGGCGCTTAGCCGAGCGTTGTGGCCTGAAGCTGCTAGCGCGATGCCGGCCAGGCCACAGCGCCCCGTCCACGGTGGGCCTCCCTGCGCTGGGCTGGGACACGCTGCTTCCTTTCGCAGGGCTCTGACCTCACTCTGACGAAACGCAGCAGCGTCTGTCCCGGCCGAGCCTGTTCGTTAAGTGTTGCCACAGATCCGCTGCGTTAAGATTAGAGTTGTTATTGCAGTAGAAAGTCCCCGGCTTCTAGCTGCCCTAAGTCCCCCGAGGGACTGTGTGTGGCTGGTCATCCATCCATCCATCCATCCATCCAATCCTGATTTTTGGACTTAGTATGAATACTAGAAACTAAATTCTTTTGGTGTTTATTACATATAAAATAAATATTCAGGATTCTGGCTTGCTGAGGATTTTGATCCAGGACCTTTGCAACGCCCCACCCCAAAGGTTCAGGGTAATGGTTCTCATTAATTCAGTAATTATAGAACATTTGGAGGCACCAGCCGTGATGAGCAGTGTTAGAGGTAACATTCCCATAGCGTTTTGGTGTTTCGGGTTGGTGCTCCGGTTTCTGTCCTACAACCACCTTTTCAGGTTCAGGTGGGCGAGGTTATGTCCTTACTTTTGCTGTTGGGTAATTTACTTGCCCCCAGTCCTGTAAGTTAGTGAGCAGTGGACCCTGGTGCACAGACTTGGGTGTTTTGAGGGAAAGTGCAGCGTCATTTCCTCTAAATACTTGGACCCCTGGGACTTGTAAGGACCTGAAATCAGAGGATGCCCCCGAGGAGTGTTTGTGAAGGTGAGAGAGAGCCTTCTGGGCTGGCGGACCCTGGGGAGGCGCGGGGTTGCTGAGAGGGACGCAGTATTGCCCACGGTGGCTGTGGCTTCGTCCTGTGTCAGACGCGGATGGGAGCCGGCCCTGTGTTCGTGGGGATCTGCAGCCCGAGAGGGGCCTGGGTAACGCCCGCCCCGCTCCGGGATGCACACACTGCCCCGTGAGAACAGGTGCTGACCCCGACGCAGGAGTGGACGGTGTGGTTGGGTCCGAGCCAGGGACACAGCGAAACCTGTCACGCAGCGTCCGTCTCACGGGTCATCTTAATAAAGTGCAGGCCGGTGAGTGGGCTGCCGGGCGTGGGAGCCACGCTGGGCCGACCCCGTCTTCCAGCCGGCCCACCGATGCCCCTGTGGTCCCACAACGGATTTAGGGCGACTGTGTTCCTCCCACTTACAGCACAGCCCCAGTCTCAGTGAGCTAGTGTCACGTTTCCAGGAAGCCCCCGACCGTGGCCCTTCCCCGGCACCCTCCGCGTGGTTTACACAGGTGCCCTCATGTGCTGCGCACACAGCCCAGCGGTCTGGGGACTGTTGTGATTCTGTTGGCAGAGGGGTGAGCTGACGGCGTTGGCCTCAGGTCACCCCACTTGCCCGTGTGAAGCTGAGGTTGACCCGACACTGCAGCTGGGCCCCGGGTGTGGACCTGGCGACCGCGTGGGGTACGTGGCTGCCTCCCACCGAAAGCGAACTCTCGGCAGCCCTGGAAGCAAACCCAGAATCCCGGTAATTCTTGAGTCGCCGGGGCATACAGTCCTCGGGCAGAGCGAGTCCCCCGTCCTCACCCGGCAGCCTCCGCGGGCCAGCTGATGGCAGGACAGATGGGGCGTCGTGGGTCAGTGCCACAGCCAGGGCACAGGTGGGAGCTTCCCCCCCAAGTCAGAAAAGATTATGCCAAATAGATCCAGTTCTGTTCTGCATGTTTTAAAAGTAATGCCCTGTAACGGTCACCCCCTCCTCCATGGAGCGTTCTGATCAGGGACTAGAAGTGCCAGGCAGAGAAAACTTTAGTTCCGGTCGATAGAATGTCAGCCTTTTTTTTTTTTCCTTAATCCCACCCAAGGATATTTTTCCCATTGCTTTTCGGGGGGGCGGAGAGCAACATGGATGTGAGAGAGACCCATCGATCGGTTGCCTCCTGCACGTGCCCCAACCAGGGCCGGGGATCGAGCCTGCAACCGAGGTGCATGCCCTTGGCAGGAATCAAACCCGGGACCCTCCAGTCTGCAGGCCGACGCCGTGGCCCCTGAGCCACACCGGCCAGGGCCATGTGTGCTTTTTTTGAGTATAAAAAAAATGCATTGTCGCCCTGGCCGGTGTGGCTTGGTCGGTTGGAGCATTACCCTGTACAGCGCAAGGCTGCGGGTTCAGTCCCCAGTTGGGGTGCGTGTGGGAGGCAACTGATGGCTGTTTCTCTGTCACATCGATGCCCCCTCCCCCCAACTCCTCTCTCCTTGAAATCAGTGAACACACCCTTAGGTGGGGATTTAAAAAGTGCATGGCCAGCCCGGCTGTGCAGGTGGACGGAGGGGCAGCGCCCGCAGGCCTGTTTGCCAGCCGGAATCAGCCTCGCGAGTCATCGGCAGCTGGCGCTGCCCGGAGCCCGCGTCGGTACAAATGGGCTCATTAATTCCTGCCGGTTCCTGAGCGGTGCCGTGGAAATCTGCAGATCTGCAGAGAGCAGCTCACGGAGGACGCCCGGGAGGAGAGAGCGCGCAGGACGGCGGTGGGGGAGACACAGGAAGGGCACGTATTTTGGGGTAACCATGGGCTTTGCTGAGAAGTCACGCTCTCCCCTGCGTGCGTGAGTCACCCACGTCACCGTTAAATAGCACGTTTCCAAGGCAAGAAGGAGCAGCAGCCGCGTTTATTGTTCTGGTCTCTGCCGATGCATCTGTTTATTTGCTGCCTCCGCGTGGCTGCCTCCACTGAAGGGGCAGGTTTCTCCGAGTCCCTGCTCACGGGGCCTGTCCTTTTAGGGGCAGCACGCCGAGGACTGTCCAGCCGGAGGGTCGGCGGGTGCAGCCTCCCTCCCCAGGGCCCTGGTCTTTGCCCTGCCTGTGTTTGCAGTCCCCCCTCGGAGGGCAGGCTTTAGGAAAGACCATTAATGCTGCTGTTTCTGGAGCTCTCCCTGCCCATTTATTTTCTGGGCTCAGGGACGGTTTGGGCACTTCACTTGAATTGTTTGCTGTGCCCCTGCTCCTCGCGTCTCCTGTGGATTTGCTGTTCGGCGGCTTAGGGCACATGGACGTAGTGGGCGTCTGCATACTTCACGAGGCCCTGCTTCACTGTCTCCCGGCGTCGTCTTCAACTTCTGTTACAAACATAGAATAACCGAGATTCCCTCCGTTCATTTCACTTGTCTCTGTGCGTTGAAACCTTTGAAGGTTTGGAGGGGACCGTGGACATCATTTCATGGTGACCCGTTTCTGTCGTCCGATCCCTTAATCCGGGGGCGGGGAACCTTTTTTCTGCCAGCGGCCATTTGGATATTTATAACGTCCTTCGCGGGCCGCACAAAACTATGCTTGTGCTGAAAAAGCTCCGAGATTTATTGAATTTCGAGTCCTGCCTGTGGTTGCCTTGGCCGCGCCAGGCCCAGTGATTTCCGGGCTCGGCTCTCGAGCGTCTCCCCTCCCGAACAATTCACGTCTTGACCCGACCGCCCCTTCATGCTGACGCTTGTGTGATCAGTCCCGCGTCTCTCGGGGACGAACCCAGGAGAGAACATGCGAGTGTGAGTCAGTTTACCGAGCTGTTAACATCTCAGGAAATTGTGCCGTGAATATTTTTGTGTTCTTTGGCTTTTTTTGTTGCTTATTGTCATTATTAAATTTTCATTTTTTCTGCACATTTCCTTTCTTTTTTGTTAAATTTTCATTTATATTCCATGTCCTTTTTGTTTCTAAAGTGTTTGTTTATAGATTAAAGAGTACGGTAGACATGCGCTGTATGTCAGAAAGGTTAACGTGGAATCATTTCGGGGTCCAGGACAGATTAATTCAATTTACATGATTTTTAATGGGAAAAATTGCTTTGGTTTTTGAACAGCCTTCTGGAAGGAATTAAATGCAAGAACCGAGGTTCCATTGGTTTGCGTTTATTTACCCGCGCCTGTCCTTTATACCTGCAGCCAAGTGTTGCATTGTTGGATCAGGGGTGTGGTTGGAACGTTGATGAAAACACCTGTTTCCTCTGTCGGGCTGACCATTTCTCTCCTTCCCTGTCCTGTCCAGGCTTTTGGCCGTTCCTGTAGACCCTGATGAGACCGCGATGGCCGTCCCCAGGGGCAGGTGCTGACACTCCGCAGCCCGGTCGCCGTTCGTCCCGACACCGTCTCCAGTCTCGGCATCTAAATGCCACAGTGCTCTCAGGGCCGGCGGGGCAGGGAGCCGCTGTGGCCTCGTGAGGCCAGCTGTGTGCACCTCTGAGCCTGTGCACATCGATGGATTGATGGGAACACGTCGGATCCACTGGGTCGGACACGTTTTAACATAATCGGAATTGCTGTGTCGTATGTAGCTCGTGGGAAAAGGAACTTGGAATCACCTCTTTGGATTAAGGTTACACCCACGTAACAATGGAAACGCATTAGCGTTAAAACTTAAAAAGAGAAAACAAAAAAGCGGGTACGTATGAAACCTTTTTTCCCCTGTGAATTGCCCTCGGGATCTTTTAAATTTATCCCCAAGCCTCACCATCTTTAGATGGGATTATGTTCGAAAAGGCAAAACCTCGCTTCGAAATCTTACTTCAAAACAATGATATATTTTGTTTCTGGTTTGGGTAATCTTTAAAGAGCAAAGTAAATGCCTTCAAAATAATAATCTCTCTAAATCAAAGATCAGCTTTTATTTGTTGCGAAACTCTTCTGTTTAGTCTCCTGTGTTTGGGGTGTTCGCGTGTGACTTGGCAGGACGCTTTCCACGGGTTAGTAAGGATTGAGCGAAAACTTTCAGAACTTTGTCTCCATTTAATCTTAGCTCTGGTCCCCGCCTGTCTTTAGGCTCAGCCTCCAGCAGGGAGAAAACAGGCTCGAAACCAAGACCTCCCACTGGAATCTAATTTTAAATTTGCAATCTGTTGTCTTGTGATTTTCGCTTCAGATTTAACTTTGAAATAAATACATTTCACTCTCCTGCAGTTGTTGGAGGTCTGTTTGCAAGTCATAGAAGGGTGATGGTTATGTTTATTTTAATACGTTTTTAAATACCTCAGGGGAGGGAAACATTTTATTATTAACAATTATAATTTATATACATCATTAAGTGCCTTCTGCCTGGCTTTCTCGATGCCCTGAGCAACCACAGAGGAAGTTTGCCTCCCAGTTAACTTCTGACTGGGATAGGGTGTGAAGTGGGTCATCTTGGGCCCAGGAAGGAGCTCAAATGTTTTATATATATATATATTTAAATACATCTTTATTGATTTCAGAGAGAGCAAAGGAGAGGGAGAGAGATAGATAGAAACATCAATGATGAGAGAGTCATTGATCGAGCCCACAACCCGGGCATGTGCCCTGACCAGGAATCGAACCCTGATCGCCTGGATCCTAGGTCGACGCTCAACCGCTGAGCCACGCCCGGCTGGGCTCAGATGTTTTATATTTTTGCAGTGGCGTTGTTATAAGGCATCCTGAGTGAGGAGCGTTCCCCCGAGAATGGCTGTGCTAAAACTTTAGTTTATTTAGAAGGCAGTAGATCAGTGGCGGGTCAGCATAGCTCCTGCCATCGGAAGATGAAAATGAAATGGGCAGGGGGTGTATACACAGCAAGAGTGTGTCGGTGAGCTCATGACCAAGCCACAGGCGTGATGTGAGGGGTCAGGCAGAGTGCCGCTGGATCCTAGAGAGGACGAGTATTTTCTTTATCTTAGGTCACTTCCCTAGACCGTCTGTTTTAAGTCTGGGTTGGGTGCTGTTTTGTTCTAGCTGTCAGCATCTTCACCCTCCTCGATGACCCCAAACCTCGGGACTTAGCCCGTGTTCATAGGTTGTATTTATTTATTTTCCCTTAAAATTTCAGGTTTAGTGTAGAAACTTCAGAAAATGCAATATATATGTGTATATATAACTGAAAATTATTCTTAATGGCTTTATCCAGATTAGTTACTTTAAAATTTTTTACACAGGTCTATTGTGTGTGGAAGTGAAATATTATTAATATTATTTATTTATTTACCTTTTAAAATATGTTTTTGTTGATTTTTAGAGAGAGGAAGGGAGGGAGGGATAAAGAGATTGAAACACGGATGCGGAGGAATCATTGATCGGCTGCCTCCTGCACGCCCCCTACTGGGGATTGAGCCCGCAACCCGGGCATGTGCCCTGACCGGGAATCGAACCCGTAACCTCTTGGTTCCTGGGTTGATGCTCAAGCGCTGAGCCTCACCGGCCAGGTTTATGAAAAGTCTTAAAGAAAATGTTAGTCTGCTCAAAGCCGGTATCTTGGGTGTGCACATCAGATTTAAGTTTTACGTCCTGAGAATAAGAAGCGTTTTGTTCTACAGATGTTTGACCCTAATAGTAAAATACCTTTCTGATCGTCCAACCCACAGGCTAGGCTTTGAGGACGTGGGTCTTTCCTGTTCTCCAGGGAAAGGGGGTGCCTGCTGTCTGTGTGGAGTACCCCGTGCCCTTCTGGTCTCACCTGGGGAACTAGACCCCGAAGCCATGAAAATATTACTACAACCTCCTTCCTTGGTCTTGGACGTGTAGAGTTGTTTCTAGTTTCCCTTGTAATTTCTTTTTCTTTCTCTTTCCCTCTGAACAGTCTGAAGTTATTAGTGTTTTTCTTTGTTTTCTCTGCTCAGAGACCTTGACCCTGGGTGGCTTTCTATTTTTATTTTATTTTATTGCTTTCAGAGAGAAAGGATGGGAGAGGGAGAGAGAGAGAAACATCAATGATGAGAGTCATTGATCGGCTGCCTCCTGCACGCCCCCTACTGGGGATCCAGCCTTCAACCTGGGCCTGTGCCCTGACCGGAATCGAACTGCCATCTCCTGGGTCATAGGTTGACACTTGACCACTGAGCAACACTGGCCAGGGCCATGGGTGGCTTTCTATTAACTGGAATGTTCTCTCATGCAGCACTGAGAAAACAACAGCAGGGTGGTTAAAAAATGCAGCTTACATGTTATATCTCGGATCAAAGAGGCTTTCCCTTTATTTGCTGTGTTCTGTTTCCACTCATTTATAATAATTGATGCTCGTAATGATCTTGTATAGGAATGGCAAGCAGCTAGGTTATTCATTTATTTCTAAAGTGTTTACTGTTACTCGGGAAGCACAGTTGTAACAGCTGCTTTAAAAGTCTTTGTGTGATAATTCCAGCTTCTGGTTCACTTTGGGGTCGGCATCTGTTGATGATCTTTTCCCTTGAGAGCTGGTTAGATTTTTCTGGTCCTTTGGAAGGTGTCTTGGACGTTTTGAGTGTTAATGTTGGGAGACTCTGGGTCCTGTTAAAATCATCTGGAGAATGTTGATTTTTCTGTTGCTGTTTCACAGTCAGTCAGTCACCTGGCTGGGTTCCGATGGCAGGTCCTGTCTGACCTCCAGTGGTGGTGGCTCCCCCATCGGTTCAGCTTTCAAAGCCTTTGTTCTCCTGCTGTGGGTGTGCCCCACGCATGTGCCACCTGGGAATGGGGCGCGGCTGTGGTTTATGTCATAATTCAGTTTCTAAAGCCTTTGCTTTCCCCAGTTGGGTCGGTTCCAGGCATGTGCATCTGAGTGGTAAGCCTGGAGCTTACACGGACTGGACACAGCATCAGGTGATTTGCTTCTGCAGTTCTTTCCTCTGAGATCCCCATCTCTGTGGCCTGCAGGGATCATCTTCTTGGTTCCTTTGGACAGAACGACAGGGTGTGTCTTGGGGGTTGTTGTTCCCTGTGCCACAGCTGCCCTGGGTGCTCACCCTCCGTGCCAGGCTAGGAGAGAAGTTAGAGGAATAAAAACAAAGATGGGAAACCCATTCCTGGAGGAGCGCCTTCTTCGGTTTTGAGGCCCTTCCACCATCCACCTGCCTTTGGAAGTCCCAGGTAGCTGCTTTTCCACTGGGTCCAGAGTTGTTACTGTAGGTCGGTGGGGGAAAGATTGGCCATGGTGCCTGCTCCTCTTGGCTGGTGCCAGGTGTTAGCCTCTCAGTTTTGTTCCTACTTTATCAAGATAGAAGCTCTACCCTCAGTTACTCTTATCTGTCTACTTATCTGTGTTTGCTCAGCGTTTCCTGAGAATATGATGCTAGGTGATCCCCAATACATGCTTATTTTTTATTGCTAATACATGCTAATTTGTTGAAATTATATTAGACTGTTTTAGATGGTTTTCAGCTATAAAAGGGTAGATTTAAAAATGTTTCATTTTGAAGAATCCTCATTTAACGAGAATATGCCAGTGAGCTAAGGCTTTGCCTGTTTTAACTGTTCATTTAGAAATAGTTTTAGATTCACAGGATATTATACACTGGAAGTATATCCTTCACCTAGTTTCCCATAATGGCTGCGTCTTACGTAATTATAGTAAACGGCAGAAGCCAGGACTGTTCCTTTTCTTCAGCGTGTGTGTAATTTTACACATAAGGCTGAGTAGGCCAATCGGTCTGCAAGAGCCGTTCCTGAGCAGCGGCCACCCACCTGATGTGTGTCTGAACCTCGCTAATGGCCGTCTGTCCTTACCGGTAAAGTTCCTGGAGATACCTTTGAACCCTCGCTGTGTATTTAACTTGGTGGGGTTCAAAGGGATTAACTGTGGTTACTTGAGAAACGGAACTCGTCACTTTCAGAGAGAGATCACGGCGTTGGGACCCCCTCTAGCGCCCCTCCCTCTGGCCCTGGGAACCTCTTGTTTCCTGACCCTGTGCTCCGTTCAGACGACCCCTGACGGTCGTAACTCCGTGACTGCGTGTCTCGTCTGCCGCCCCTTTTCTCTGGGCCGTCTTAGGCCGAGGAGATGCGCACTGTCCGCCCTGACCGTGGAGATAGGTGCCCTCTCAACGCCGAACCCCATTTCTTAACCTCTGCAGGGACAGCTTCAAAAAAAGGAGGACACTGGCCAGTGTGGCTCAGTGGTTAGAGCATCAGCCTGCACACCGAAGGGTCGCGGGTTCGATTCCCGGTCAAGGGCAGGGACCTGGGTTGCAGGTTCCCCGCCCCGAGCTGGGGCGTGTGTGGGAGGCGACCAGTCCATGTGTCTCTCTCACATCCGTGTCTCTCTCTCTCTCCCTCCCCCTTCCCTTCAGGGAAAAAAATATCCTCCAGTGAGAATTAACAACAACAAAACCAAAGTAAAAGAGGAGGAAGGTGGGACTTGAGCAACAGTTAGGGCAAGACAGGAGCAGGGTCTCAGTCGCTGCCCAGGCTGCTGGGTGTCGGGGTGCACAGTGGAACACGGCCACTGAACCCCTCAACTCAGCCCCGGGTCAGGCACGCGCGGCCTGCCGGGTCTGCGGCGGGGGCCCAGCGGGCGGGGGCACCTGGAGACGGTGTGCGCTGGGCGCTCTGCGGAGGAGCAGCCTGCGGGGCAGCTGGGTGTTTTCTCAGGTCGTGGGAACGTCCTGGACCTGGTGTTATTGCAGGTGTGTGAACTCTGACGTCCTGGTCGAGCTGTAGTGACTGATGCCTTCATTGTGTGGTTTGTTTACTGAGCACTGACTACCTTTCAGGCCGGGTTCTGGGCACTCAGGGTACTGAGGCGAACTGGACGAGCCAAATGCACAGCCCGTCTGAAGGCTGGGCTCCGGTGGGAAAGAACAGAGCGGAAGAGAGACAGGCAGTGAAATACGTTGTCAGTTACGATGGGGATAAATGCTACGGAGGGGGTGAGAGGTGCTGAGCTCCGAGGGCAGGGTGTCGTTTTGGGCGGATGCCAGGGAAGGCCTCCCCGAGACCTGAGGCAGGATCTGCAGGTTGGAGCCGGGGAGCCAGGCGGAGGCTGGAGGAGAAAGGCTGGGGGCCACGAGCAAAGGCCCTGGGGTTGCCAGGGAAGCCAGACCTTAGACTGTGGGGGAGAAAGTACGAGAAGCCGGACTTGAGGTTTAAGTACTGAGAGTTGGTCTCACGCTACAGTCTTTCCCCCTCCCGCTAACTGCCCGGAAAATGCCAGCTTTCTGCAGCCACTAACGTTCTACCTCAGTCATTCACAGCCTGAAACCGAGGCTTCGGTGGGTACGAAACGTAACGGTTTCTGAGCTCGAATGCCCTTCTTCTAATGCTCTTCGATTTCTGTCCTGTTCTCTTTCTTTTGCGTTTCAGCCTGTCCCCCGCCCCTTAAGCTTTCCCCTGGTACCCGGGGACAGTGGTGAGGGACTGGTCACCGGGCTCTGCTTTTGTTAGGGACATGCGCTCACATTTATTAACTCCCTATCCTGAGCAGGACACACCAGTCCCTACTTTCTGTCCCGAAGTTGCTTCCTGATTCACAGGCTGTGCAAATGTAAATGTTAAACCAGGTTTTAAAATTTTGGTTTTTAAAAAATAAAAATGAAAATGATAAGAGGGTGAATAGGAGAGAACAGGGAGAAATTAAGAAGCTGAATGTAGCTGGCGGTCAACATTTATACGCAAAAAGTATGCAAATTTCAGCTCTCGCCTTTCTGGGGTTGCCTGGGGGGCAGGGCCTGTCCTTGAAGCGGGAGATCCTCTGATGTGTGCAGTGAAGTTTTAACTTTTCATGCCTGCGTCATTCAGTCCCCACTGGCCCAGGGGGGCCTCCAGGGGTCCCGCTGACCTCTCAGGAATAGCTGTGAATTTAAGGGGAGTTTAGCTGGCCCTGGGAACGTATCTTTCTTAACGTTAGTCGCTTCCAGCTTCCTGCTGACTCCGCTCAGGCTGCCCCTGAGGGTTTCTCTTGCAGGACTGAGGAGCTTGGTGTGGTCTCTGGGCCCGGGCTCTGGAGATGGAATGGCTCTGCGCCGGCCTTGGCCGCTGCACGACTCCTGACGCTGAAGTGCTGTTAGAGGAACAGCCCTCGGGGTGACGCCTGGAGCCTGAGCGTCAGCCCACTTCCTCCAGGAGGCTTTTAACGTGATTAGTTCTCTGTTGGCAGAGACGAGCCTGGGCAGAAATTTGCTGTTGACAATGTGTCTGTCAGTTTACATTTGCAAACTTTGGATATATGATTGCGGGGGCCATGTCCAGTGTGTTTGCAGGTTTGCGGGGACAGTTCTGCCTTCCTCCCACTCGGATTCTTTGACCATAATTCTATCCCCCCTTTATTTATTTTTATTTTTTATGTTTCAATTGATTTTTTAGAGAGAGAGAGGAAGGGAGAGGGAGAGAGAGAAACACTGACGAGAGAGAAACACCGTAGGTCGGCTGCCTGCTGCACACCCCCTACTGGGGATTGATCCTGGAACCCAGCAGGTGCCCTGACCGGGAATCGAACCAGCAACCTCTTGGCTCCTGTGTCGATGCTCAACCACTGAGCCACGCCGGCCGGGTTCTATTCCCCACTTTACATTTAAATCTATGCAGTTCTTCAAATGGGACTGTTGGCTAACAGCTGCTCTAAGCTTTTTTATTATTTATTGGCAAAACATACGGATATATAGACACAGCCAGGTATCTTGATGTTACTTAAAAAAAGTCAAGAATTCTGGGAAATCGGTCATGGCCTTCCGTGTTACCGAAATGCTTATTTATTTTACTTACAAACATGTAGCCCACGACATTCTTAGGAGTAAAGTTAACGTAAAACCGTCGGCTGAGCCGAGGTTTCATCTTTTTCTCTCGCTTCTTGGAGACGGTGGAGTAAGCCGGAGGATGTCCGTGTGGGAAAGTTCTCTCTGGGGACCCGTGATGTGCGACCTGGTGGGAAACGTTCCAGAGTGGAGGGGCTCAAGCTCTGTGTCTATGAGTCACCCCGAACTCGGTGGGACACCAGCGGAGGTTTCCCGGCCTGTGGCCACAGATTTCATTTCAGTAGAGATGGGCTGTGAGGGTCCAAGCGATGTTTTAGGTGGAACAGTGTGTTACGGGGTGAGCCCCGATCGGCGTGGAGGGTTCTGATCCGGGGTGTCTCAGGCTGTCCTCGATGGTCACTGTGGTCCGTCCCTGCCTCTGGCGCCTCCACCTTTTGTGTAGTGTGCGCCTTCCCTGGCTAGACTGTGGCGTCTGAGGGCGGGGAATGTGCCCCTGCTCTCGGCTGGATGTCTGGCTTCGAGAACATGCTGGGCGCTCCGTGTCTGTCTTCCAAACGAATGGCCACGTAGAGGGCGGACGGAGCCAGCCACCCGTTTCCCTCCTCTCCTTTCTGGCCGCCCTCACGCGCGTCCGCAGTTTCAAGGGTGCAGAGACACCTCGCTGCAGAGCAAGGAGACTAGGCTACGAGGGTTCTTCTCTTTCCCACTGTGGTCACGGGCACCAGCGAGGGCACCGGGAATGGTCAGGAGAGACGTGAGTGACCCGGGCGGCCCAGGAGGCTGGCTCGCCCTCCGCGGCTTGGCAGCGGGGACCTCTGCTTGCGGAGGGCCCTGTAGGAGAGGGAGGCTCGCGGTTGGACTGGCTCCCGGAAAGAAGCCCGCTCGTCTCCGCGACGCGGGGTTTCTGTTTTGTCCTGCCCACGCCCTGCCTCCCAGCTGAAATCAGGGTTTCGGAAGGCTGTGGAATTACAGCTAAAAGCCCCTTCCTCTGCGACTTTGACTTATTAGAAAGAGTTCATCGGACTTACTTACCTCTTGCGTATTTTCACTTCTGGTTGTTTCGAAGTGTAGGTGGGATCTGAGGGAGGCAGGTAAACTCCCGAGAGGGAGGGAGGGGGGTCATCAGGTGCGCCTTTGGGTTCTGCTTTCTGAAATCCGTAATTTCAAACAAAAAAGCACTCACCAGCTTGTGAGCAGGAGCAGAACTTTAAGTCTGTGACTGGATACGTGACTATAGGAGGGAGACAGCCTGCGAGAGCTGCCCCGTGCCAGCCAGGGGGGCAGCCAGGGGGCAGCCAGGGGGCAGCCAGGGGGCAGCTGTCCTCTGGCCAGGACAGTGCGATTCTCTGATGGTCTCCTTTATGCTGTTGCGCCTCTGAGGGGTCAGTGGGTGCTGGTCTCACCTGCTGCCCTGTAGGAGTCCAGGCGCCTGCCAGGCGTGTACAGGGCGGGGCCCTTACCTGGCGAGCTTGTGCCCGCCCCGCGTGCCGAGCTCTCCCTGCTCGCCCGCCCGCGCCCACTGGCCACTCACTCGTCCCCTCCCTTTTCTCTCTTTGCTGCAGCATAAAACCATGGGGAATGCGGAGAGTCAGAACGTGGAGCACGCGTTCTACGGAGAAAAGCATGCCGGCCTGGGGCGCAAGCACACCTCGCGCTCCCTGCGCCTGTCGCACAAGGCGCGGCGCATCCGGCACGCGTCCTCCGGGAAGGCCCTCCCCAGGGGCTCTGAGGTGAGCACGCGGTCCAGCAGCACCCCCAGCATCCCGCAGTCGCTGGCCGAGAACGGCCTGGAGCCCTTCTCCCAGGAGGGCGCCCTGGAGGACTTCGGGAACCCCATCTGGGTGGACCGCGTGGATATGGGCTTGCGACCCGTGTCCTACACCGACTCCTCCGTGGCCCCCAGCGTGGACAGCAGCATTGTGCTCACAGCGGCCTCGGTGCAGAGCATGCCCGACTCGGAGGAGGGCAGGCTCTACGCTGACGACGGGCCCTACCTGCCCGAGGGAAGCCGGAGGCAGCACCCCTGCGCCTGCCCGGGGCCCACGTTCCCGGAGTCCGCCAGCTTTAAGAAGAAACGGTCCAAGTCTGCAGACATCTGGCGGGAGGACAGCCTGGAATTCTCGCTGTCTGATCTGAGCCAAGAACATTTAACCAGCAATGAGGAGATCCTGGGTTCCGCCGAGGAGAAAGACTGCGAGGAGGCGCGGGGCACGGACACCCGGGCGGGGCCGCGGCCGCTCGGAGCCTGTCAGCGTGCCAACTCCTTGAGTGACCTGTATGCCCAGAAAAGCCCCGGGGCGATGGCCAACGGGGGGCCCAGGAGCAGATGCGCAGGCTATTGTCGGAACCTGGTGTCGGACATGCCCCACCTTGCCAACCGAAAGATGCCATCGGCCGCTGCCGAGGACGCCCTTCCCTACAGCACCTATAGCACCCTTCCCTGCAGGAAGTCTCACTGCCTGTCCGAGGGCCCCTCCAACCCACAGCTCAGCCACAGCAACAGCATGCAGGGCCGGAGAGCCAAGACCACTCAGGTAAGGCGGCCCCCGGCTGCTCCAGGATTTCGGAGAAGGTGCGTGGCTTCAGGTGCGTGGCTTGGCTCTTGACAGGCTCCCATCTCCCAGCCGGGTTTCACCTGTCTGCCCGGTGGCTGCCGCCTGAGGACTCGCCTCCCCTGCTCTGCCCTCTCGGTTCCATGCTCAGGGGTGGGGAGCAAGGAACAGGGGGCTGGGGCTGGAGTGATAGGAGTGGAGGGAGGCTGCCAAGTTCATACGAGAACCCGCCTCTCCAGCTCGACTTCCAGCAGCGTCTTGCTGGTTCTGAGCTTTCTCTCTAATGTGGTCCGGTCGGGGGACAGGTGGGCAGGGGGCTGGGGACTCTGGGCTTTCTCCTTGGGCACTGTGGGTGGGCTGGGGTTAGCCCGGAGGAAGGGAGGAAGCTCGTTGAAGGAGGTGTCCTGGCGTCAGGGCGGCTCTGGTCATCTGTCGGCCTCTCCCCTCTTGGAAGTTGGCAGGCTCCCCGCCTTACCAGGAGCCGTTTCAATTTCCTGTGCCTTGCGGTGCGGCCAGCCCCGTCCTCGGGGAGGGGTAACGGAAGGAATAACCTGGGAGGGTTCCAGCTCCGGCTTTGCAGCCAGCTCGTTGTTTGACCTCGGGCAGACCCTGACTTCTAGCTGCTCCTGAAAAAGGGCGGGAGGGAGGGTAAAAGATGTGCCTGCCTGGGGTCTAGGGCACGAGACGAGGGGCTGTGAAGCATTTTTCAGAGACTTAAAAAATTTATTGATTTGAGAGATATATAGATATATTTAAATATATCTTTATTGATTTCAGAAAGAGGAAGGGAAGGGAGAGAGAGACAGAAACATCAATGATGAGAGTCACTGATTGGCTGCCTCCTGCACGCCCCCGACCGGGGACTGAGCCCACAGCCCGGGCACGTGCCCTGACCGGGAATCAAACTGCGATCTCCCGGATCCCAGGTCGATGCTCATCCACGCCAGCCGGGCAATAGCCTGTGCATCTGCTCCTGGGCCCTGCCCCCGTTAGCCATCGCCCAGGGTTTTTCTGGGCGTACAGGTCACTCCGGGCATTGGCACCCTGACGGGCACTGAGCCACGCTGGCCGGGTGAGAGAGAGATGTGCTGTTCTACTTACTGGTGCATCACTGGTCAATTCGTGTGACTGGGGATCGAACCCGCAACCTTGGTGCGTCAGGATGACGCTCTAACCAGCTGAGCTACCTGGTCAGGGTCTTACTCGCGAGAGGAGGCCCCTCCTGGATGGTTAATGATGATTAGCCTGAGGGTAATAACCTGGGAAGGCCCCGCGTGCCTGCGCTTCTGTGTCCCCCGTGGCAGTTCCCAGAGCCCAGCCTGGTGCTGAGGACGGGCCGGAGGTTTGCTGGTGGGGCTTCAGGTCAGAAATCCACCCTGGGCCCGTTTGCCTTGAAAGGGGGGTCAGGCACCAGGGTGACCCCGTGACCTCGCCTAGGTCAGCGGGAGGGCAGCAGGTGCACCCTGACCTTGGTCCCGGCCAAGTCAGCCGGGCATTTCGAGGTCAGTGCCCTCTCTGGGGGGAGGCCTCAGCGTGATGAGTAGTAAATGGGGAGGACCTGGGGGGGGGAGACTTTGGGGTCCTGCCCAACAGCACGGATTTTTTGTTTTTTATTTTCAAAATCTCAGGTGTCTGATTTTATTTTTGAATTTTAAATTCTCATATACAAGTCATTTGGGGATGCAGGGTTTTTTTGTTTTTTTTTACCGCTCTAGATTTGTTGGTTAGAATAATCAGAATTTATTACACAGTCCTCCAGGTTTAGAGGAGTCTGACCTTTTCCTTTCTTTTAAAAATTTATTTTAAACTGTGGTGAAAGTGCACATAACACTTTCCTTTTTTTAAATTTTATTGATTTTTAGAGAGAGGAAGGGGGGGGAGAGAAACACCGATATGATAGTGAAACACCCACTGGCCGCCTCCTGCACGCCCCTGGGTGCCCACAGTGCTCCACCCCGAGCGGCGCCGGCCAGGGCGGCATTTGCCTTCTCAGCCGTCGGTTCCGGGGTGTTGGGCACATTCACACTGCAGTGCAGCCGTCACCACCTTCATCTTGCAGAACCGGGACCCTGTGCCCCCGAAACACCAACACCCCTTTCTCCCTCCTCCCGGCCCCCGGCCCCCACCCTCCTGCTCCGTCCCTACGGGCTCGACGAGCCCAGGTTTCCTCATATAAGTGGAGTCACGCAGCGTCTGTCCTTTTGTGTCCGGCTTATTTCACGCAGCATCGTGTCCGCGGGGGTCAGAGCTTCCGTCTTTTGTTTTGTTTTTTTTCTTTAATCCTTACTTGAGGATGTTTCTCCCATTGAGTTTGGAAGGGAGGCAGGGAGGGCGAGAGAGAGAAACGTTGATGTGAGAGAGACACGGCCATTGGTTGCCTCCCGCACGCCGACCAGCGTCCGGGATCGGCGGGTCGGGGTCGGACTGTCTGGGCGTGGGGTCGTCTGGGTGTGGTCTCAGAAGGTCACCGCCGAGCGGCTCCATGGATGCGAAGGGCAGTGGCCGAGCAGTTCTGAGGCCGTCGGCACCCGGGCTCCCTCCTCCCGACCTGGTGCTCTGCGGGTCCTTCTCTGTCCGCGTGAGAGACCCCGGCCTCCGGCGTGGGAGACCGAGCGTGGCAGCCTTGCGTGGAGCCTGGAAAATGAGCGAAAGTGTTTTTTCATGTCGAGTTTGTGTTGAGTGAGGATCTTAATGACTTGAAACAAACCCCAGAGTTTTGCACAAGGCGGTCCGCCTCCCACGCTCTCGTCTGCGTTTGGCATGTTCTTCCAGCGCGATTCCTGAGCGCCTACTGTGTTCCCAGCGGCGTATTTTAGGAGGCAGTGGGTGTGGACGCTTCCTGGAAGAGAATCCTTTCTTTGTCTTTTCGTTGTTCAAGTCCCTGACCCCTTCGGTGCCTGTGTCACGGCTCCTGAAGTCGCCTCTGCCCCACGACGCAGTCGAGTCCTGACTGTCCCTCAGCGGCTCCCTCCCCAGAAGAGCCCCTCCTGGCAGAAGGTGGGCCCAGGAGCATGGCCTCTGATGGGGAGAAAGTAATTTTTATCCGAAATAATCGAACGAGTTTTTATTGGACTGTTCTCCCTGGCTCTGTGCTTGTTCAGCACTTGGGCGTGTTGCTGACACACAAAGGCCCTGGAGTTGGCACTGAGGTGGTCAGAAGTGCCACCGATCATGTGTCTGCCCCACAGTAAGTGCTGGGGGTTATCTGTTTAATTTGGTGAATCCGAGTGTGTGCACTGTGCCCGCCGGCTTGTCTCGTGAGTCGGTCTGGCGTCTTTTGTCGGGAGTAAAGTTTTAACCCGTAGTATTTATTTATTTATTGGTGAATTCTCACCTGAGGATATTTTTTCCATTGATTTTTAGAGAGAGTGGGAGGGAGGGAGGGAGAGAAACATGGATGTGAGAGAGACACATCGATTGGTTGCCTCCCGCACGGCCGGGCATGGAGCCCGCAGCCTGGGTACGTGCCCTTGGCCGGGAATTAAACCCGCAGCTCTTCGGTCCGCAGGCCGACGCGCCAGCCGCGGGGCCACGCGGGCTGGGCTGCCCACGGTATCGAAGGCGGAGCTTCCTGGTATTGATCTCTGTGGAAACAGAGCGGACCGGGTGCTGCTGTGACCTCGTCGGCCTCTGGCCTCAGTGGCTCTTCGTGTTCCCAGGTCCGCGGCCGAGCTGAGGCAGCCTGGTGCTGTTCAGAAAAGAGGGTCTTAAGTCCGGCAGCCCGTCGCCCGTCGGCCCTGTCACCTGGGTGGTCTGAGCGACAGTTCCACACGGGGCGATTTTGCAGGTCCCGGCACAGTGCCCTGCACGTAACAGCAGCTCAGGAAGTGGCGGTTCTTGGCTGTGATGGCGGATTTGGCTTCGTCTTCTGGAGCCCGGCTCTCCTGTGGCTCTGGGACCTGCGGTGGGCGAGGTGGGCAGAGAAACCCACCCGATGGAGTCTTTCCCCAGGTTCTGTGTTTCACAGGGCGGCTGTGGCCTGGAGGCACCGCGCATGCCTGGCGAGGAGATGGGGGATGTGAGCGGCTGTGCCGAGGACGTGGGACACTGTTGGTCAGGTCTGTGTCTGTCCAGTTTGGCAGCACCTCAGCATTCCCAGGGATCGTCGTGTGGCCTGGTGTCCAGCCGAGCGCGGCCCAGCTCTCAGCCAGAGCCTCCGAGCTGTGGGCCACCCACAGGGCTGCAGTCCAGCCGGACTTCCAGTCCCAGCTCAGACCATCTCTGTCCAACCCCATCGCTTTCCAGGGCAGGAAGTGGACCTAACGAGAGTGGGCGACAGGGCCTCACAGCTGCGTTAAAATCCACGTCTCCCGCCCTGGCCTGTGTCGCTCGGTGGTCAGAGTGTCGGCCCCCACACCCGAGGGCCTCGGGTTTAATTCCCAGTCAAGGGCTTGTACCTGGATTTTAGGCTCAATCCCCGGCCCGGTCGGGGCTCTTGCTGGAGGCAACAATCGATGTTTCTCTCTCTCCCCCCTCCCTTCCACTCTCTCTAAAAATCAATGGAAAAAATATCCTCAGGTGAGGCTTAACCAAAAATAAACAAACAAACCCACCGCTTCTGAGTCCATCTTTCAGAAGCACCCCCCCAATGCTCAAACAGGGTTCAGCCCACGTGTGCCCAGAGTTTAAGATCAAAACTGTCAATTCTGGTACAGAAGCAAAATCGAAAGGAAATAGTAACTGCCGGTCCCGTGGCCCCGACGGCGGAGGCTCTGAGCGGCGACCGCGGCAGCCCTAAAGGGGCCACACCTGACAGGTTTTCCTCGGGTGAGGAAGGGCTGGGGTTGGGATGTCAGTGAGAGCCCCGAGTTCCTAGAACAGTTGTGCTGATTCTGAAGGTTTGCTCAAGTGGCTCTGAGGAATTGTTTTCCCGGAGCTGAACACTGACATCAGCACTTACGAGATTCTTAACCTCTGGTCCCAGGCTCCTTTGGACTTTTTCCTGCGATAAACACACGGACCTCCCTTCCTCGTTTAATTTCAGGGGCTTCCTGGGTCCCACAGAGTCCACGTAGGAGCTTGTGGTTAAGACCTGAGGTCCGCCATTCATGAAACAAAATATTCCCATATAAAATCCATTAACAGAACGCTCCCCCGTCCCTTCCCCTTGTCTCCTGTTGCACGCTTCTAGTTCGCTTCGTTCTTGACCTTTTTTTTGGCATGGAAGTTAAGCAGTGAGGTATTTGTTTTGAAAACGAGCCCACCCGTTTTCAACAAGAGTGTCCAGCTCTTTGCCAAGATCTTCTGGGGAGCGGGAGGCGGGAAGGTAGCTGAGGGATGGCTAATGTCAGCCGCTCCCAGACCCCGTCATGCTCCTCAGAAGGACTGCAGACTTCAAAGGGCTCCTGTTCATGGGATTATAGCTACAGATACTCATCACGTTAGAAACGGAAGCATAGGTAATAAACACTTGTCGATTCACTTCAGAATAGCAGCAATAAACCCACTACAGGATCGTATCAGTTATTCAAAAATTGTTATTTAAAAAAAAATAAAAAAGAGTTTTTAATTGCATTCAAATGATAACTACAAGTGGCCAGTTGGTCCTGCTGGTTTCCGAGTTGTCCCAGGGCCCTCGGACTTTGTGGCTAATTACCTTTTCAAAATTGTGTTCACCCATCGTCCAGACAGAAAACCTGTCCCTCGGTATGGGGACCCTCGGACACAGCAGGGGAGTTACGGGGGCAGCCCGAGTGTAACTCTGACTCCCCAAAACTTAACTGTCCAAGGGAAGCCTCGCCAATGACATAAACAGCCGATCCATACATAGTTTATGTCATAAACTGTATTTTTACAATAAAGTAAACAAGAGAAAAGGGAATGTTAGTAAGAAAATCGTAAGGAAAATACATTTACTCTATTTATTGGAAAAAAAAGCCTGTGTGTAAGCGAACCTGTGGGGTGCAAACCCGCGATGTTCAGGGTCGGCTGTGTTTGTACATCCCCAGTGGAAATGACTTGGGCCTCGACGCAGTGTCCTCACCCCCATTCCTGCCGGGTGACCCTCCAGGTTAAAGGCAGCGAGCACAGGCTTCGCGTGGCCTCTCCCCGTGTCCGTACAGAGCTCGCTGGGGCCCCTGTCACTCAGCAGAAGGACAGGAAACCCCTGTGTGCTCGGGGCTGCAGCTGGCCACTTGTGCGTCCCATAGAAAGTGCCAACAAGACGGAAACCGGAGAGCGCACTGCAAACGGGGCTGGGAGGATGGGCCCCGGAGAGCGGGATGAAGGGCGTCCGCACCCCCTAAACGCTGTTGATATCCGAAGCCTCTCCACTGCAGTGTGTCTAACACACAGGGCGTATCTCCAGCTGTTTTCAGGAAACCTCGGACTGGATCATGCACCTCGTTGGTTGCTATTTCTCCATTTAGCGAGGGAGGATCTTACCATTTTCCTTGCTGTCCTCTGACTTTGGGATGAAAATTCAGTATTTGGTTCAATAGTCTAGGGCTAGTCAGATGCTACAATGACTGACTAGCTAGGAAGGAATGTGAATACGTTCGCTATGGAGATGGCTGAGCTCGTGGGCCTCTACCCTGGGGGTCATCGCCTGGATTCCCGCTGCTGGGAAGAGTGGGGAGGGTCTCGGGGGCTGCCGAGTGGGGGAGTCAGTCTCCCAGGTGTGATGTGTCGTCTGAGGCCGAGTTGGGGAGAGTCAGTCTCCCAGGTGTGATGTGTCGTCTGAGGCCGAGTGGGGGAGTCAGTCTCCCAGGTGTGATGTGTCGTCCGAGGCCGAGGTGGGGAGTCTGTGCCTCAGGTGTGACGTGTCTGAGACAGGTGGGGAGTCTGTGCCTCAGGTGTGACGTGTCTGAGACAGGCGGGCGGGAGGAGGAGCCTTTGGGAAGGTGAGCACCAGGAACGTGTACATCCCGGGGAGGCTGCCTTTCCTCTGAGCTGTTGGCACCTGCAGCAGAGCCGTATGCGCCCCGGCACCTGAGAATGACGGGCGTTTGGGATGCGGCCTCCGAGGGGAGGCTGGTGTCTTTCCCGTGTGACCCGAGAGACTATATCCGAGCACCTCAGAGAATGAGACTTAGACACCTGGGTAGGACAGCCCTGCTGCGGACGGTTCTTCCCCGCTCATGCTGGAGATGCCTGGAGTGTGGAGCTCGGAGCCTCTTGGCCTCCAGGTGCTGAGTCAAGCCTCTGGCTGGCCAGCCATCGTTTCCCACGACGCCAGAGCATGGGCTTCTTGGAATTTGGGGCATCCCAGGCTTCATGACCAACTAGGGGCTGGGGCTGGGCAGCCAGCATTTCTTTCCCAACAGGCTGGGTGACATATTAGTGGGAAGATGTGTCCGCGGAGCCTGCCTAACCACCTGTGGGGCCGAGGTGGAGTCAGCTTGGATCTTGGATGGAGAGCGTTTGGCTGCACGGGGCTGTGCTCCCGAGGTGCCAAGCTCAGCGGGGGCCGGCAGGCCTCTGCCCGGGAGGGGTCGCTTCTCTGCTCAGTGTAGTGACCGTCCCAGAGTCGAGTACATAGAGCCCGGTCACTGCGAGGTTACAGCGTCAGGTGCTATGACCAGATGTTCAGTTCTGACCAGGAGGTGAGTGTCTGTCAAGGCCTTTACCTCAGATGCAGTGAGACCGGAGACCCCTGGCGTCCTGGAAAGGGGTGCACGGTCCGTGGGAGGCACTGGACTGTAAGAGGCATGTCCTCGACGCCTTGCCTCTGTTCCCTGCCTGCTTCCCGCGTCTTCTCTCACCTCCTTCCCTTCCGCCATGTGCAGGTTGAGGTGGACAGTCTGAGCTTTTGCTGGGGCACCTAGAAGGGTCACTGTGGCAAATAAAGGGGGAAGATGAGAAGTTGGCCATTTAGCCAGAACATGGTCGGGTGCTGCCTGCAGCCGGGTGACGGGCCCACCGCAGAATAGCGGAGCGGGCAGTTAGAAGCAGAAGCCGGGGTTCTGACCCCCAGTCTGCCAGCCTTGTGAGTTTCTGAGCCCCCCAGCATCCTTGCCCATCAATCAAGGGGATGGCTTCCCGGGGCTCCTTCCTGTTCCCGAGCTCTGGGCATCGGTGCCTGGAGTCCGATCTCCCCTTTGCTCTGAAGTTCTTCTCTCTGGGACAGTCTTTCTTGACCTCACAGGGAAGCATCTCACACCTGCGTTTGAGAGACTTTACAGGCGATTCCTTCACTTCTTTCAGAGAAGAGCTGAGTCGTATGAAAATGAATCCAGAGGGTTGGGAAATTCAGTCTCATTGCCCACTAGTGCTGGTTACCTTGAACAATCAGTGGTGGTCAGACTTACGTACTGTCTGACATCAGAAGGGGTGCTGTGTTTAGATAACCGCGGGCTCCTGTTTGTTGCGAGGAGTTGTACCCACTGGATCCGGGCGCTTCATGACCATCAGTGGAGGTCAGTAGGCAGGACGCGGATAAGAGATGGGACCAGCAGTCAGAGTCTGCACCTGAGCGGCACCTCGCTGTCCTTGTCTTCGGGGCTGTGCGGTTCCCCTGGAAATGTAGCTGGTCCTTAGAAACTTCCGTAACTGTACTTCCTGTTACTATCTTCCCGCCAATTTTTAAAATTTTTATTTATAACAATTACTTATACATAATTTTTATTTATAACAATTATTTATTGTTTATTTATTTATAACAATTATTTATTTATTATTTATTTATAAATAATTTATAAATTTATTAATTACTTATAAATAATTTTTATTTATAACAATTATTTATTTATTACTGGATACTAGAGAGGGTTCCTGTATGTCCCACACCAGTTGAGCGTGAGCACCTGGCTGAGGTAGTAGTTGCCAGGCTTTTCCACTGCAGTTACTCTTTTCCCACCGTTTGCATTCTGTTGTGTTTCGTGTGTTTTTTTTGAAGATGTACAATGTGATGACTTAATATACATACAAATTGTGAAATGATGACTACAGTCAAGTTAATTAACACACCCATCACCCCACACAAGTACCCTTTTGTTTTGGTGGTGAGAATTTAGGATCTACTGTCTCAGGGGATTTCGGGTGTAAATGCTGTCTTATTAACCACAGTCCCCCCGCTGCACATCAGATCCCAGAGCTCATTCATCTTACGTCTG